AAAGGCAAGGATTGATTGCTACAAGATGCCAACAATCACTCAGATAAAATTGGTCACTCACCACACGGCTGTTTGTGGGACATTGCTGTGTGCAAATTGTCTGTCATATTCACCTAAAAGCATAGAGTCACCATTTGGAACTCCATCCCACAGTCCCTTCGCCTCTCCCCCTCCTTCGAGACCCGTCTCCTCTTCGAATGCGCCTTTAATCACCCTCTAACCCCCACCCTTCCTGCCCTGCACCCCTTCTGATCCCAACCCCCAGCTCCGGTGGATATCCTTGATTGTGCAGGGCTTTGGGACATCCTCCCGATGTGAAAGGCGCTATTCAAATATAAACTGTTGTTGTTGTTGAGCTTCACGGTGAAATCTTGTGAAATGCTTTGAGAAGTCTTGATGATGTGATAAAGCGCTTTACCAAATTCAAGGATTATTACTATTATTTTATTCTATTTTGGCCCAATTGTCTTCTCTGGTCCTCTACATTCCTGTGTAAACTAGTGACTAAGAGATAATCAGAAACTAAATATTTGTCTTTTATTAATGACAGTGTTCTGTAATCGTTCCGCACAACCTCACAATTAACTTTGGTCACCTTTCTCTAAGCCCCTCTTACTCCAGCCCCCTCCCCCCATGACTTCTCTATACCCCACTCAACTCAAGCTTTTCTTAGTTGAAAATGTCAGATTTATGTCACTTACAACGACCTCGCAGGCCACAGGCTGGCTACCACTGGCCTAGACTTTATTTACAGACTCAGTCAAACACCTCATCCACGCAGAAGCAGAATGAGGTGACCTAGGGCCTCTGCTGTTTCTGCCCCTGTTCTTAGATGTTCGGAGGTCACTATCAATCTCTAAATGGATGCCACCACTGTCTGAGCAATGACACCATTACAGGCTATTGCCTGAGGTCTTAAATCCCTCTATGTTTGCCTCTACCAGTGCTTTACAGTTAAGAAGATATTTCCATTGGCAACCTTATGCCCAAGTACAATTTTCTGCTCTCTTCTTCACAAATCACTATGACATCTAAGCTTAGGGTCAGCTGCAAACTTACTGAGGTTCCCAAATCCAGGTCATTTATATATAGACTGAAAAACTGGGGCCCAAGGTTTGTGCCCTGGGGATATTAGTTGTCACTGCCCATCAATCAAGCAATATCCCCTTTAGTCTAACACTCTGCTTCCTACATCCCAATGAATTTCCTATTCACAATCACAGTCACCAATCCCCCTCACATCCTGTCTAACATCTCAGTAGTTCTGACAAAGATCTCTGTTATTATTATTATATAAATGCAAGTTGTTCTTGACCTCCATTGTGGCAATGAATTTTGCACGGCAATGTCTCGCACACATCCATGAAGTGAGCGACCAATTTTAATTAGGGGATTATTAGCCAAAAAGAGAAACTCTCATTTCTTTTTGAATAGCACCATGGGATCTTTAACGTCCACCTGAACAGATAGATGTCTCATCGAAAGGATAGCACCTTTGACACAGCAGCACTTGCCCAGGACTATATTGGAGGGTCAGTTTACACTTTGAGTTCAAAGTCCCCGACGTGGGACTTGAACTCACTTTCTTCTTCTGACTCAGAAGGAAGTGTACTGCCGACTGAGCCATCTGGAACCTTATTTTAAACAGATCAGTTGTCAGGAAGGGGTCAAGAAGGATTTGAAATAAAATGAAAGCTTTGAGATCTGCTTTGCTCAGATTAAAGTGATTTAACAAAATGTATATATATGTGTGTGCATCAGAGGCTCAGTTTTCATATTCTTGAAGCAACTTGTGTCTTTTCGGAAGAAAAAGAAGTAGCTCCCAACCTTTAACGATCCTTGTATTCGATATATCATCTTTAACATTCGGAGGACATCTCCCAATGTTAAAGTGCTTTGGGATGTTACCCTGCATGAGGAGCACTATATAAATATACACTGTTGTTGTATCACAAAATGCTTCACAGGATTTACTGCAAAAATACAGTGACTGTGTACTTTGTAGGTGAAGTATCTTTGATTAATCACTGAAACAGGGCACACCGTGAGTTACATATTCAACACATCAAATCAAATTTCAGCTGTAAGATTTCTTTAAGCATCCTTGGTCTTCCAATTTACAGTTTGTGCTTTTTGTTACTTACTTACTGTAACATTAATTGACCTAAATTGAACATATCAATTAGGGCTGAATTATGGAGTGGTTGGTTCTTTGGATTCTGGCTCGCTACTTAATGGACCAAAATGGTGAAGAATAATTTCACTTGATTTATCCTAAAAGGGAAGCCTTTTATCCTCTTAGTATGGGATAGATTTTAACACCGCATATGGGAGCATTTTAATGTATTCTCTCAATTTTGACCGAGTAGTGTAAAATTAGGCACCAATGGAGTTGAAGGCGATATTATACCATAGACAAGAAATGGTTTGGAAATAGGAGGCAGAGGGATGGTACAAAAGGTATGTTCTCTGATTAGTGGCAGTGGCAACAGGTGTCCCACAGGGTTTGGTGCTGGGACCCCAGTTTTTCTTCTTGTGCATCAATGATCTGGAACAAAATCTTTGTAAATTTGTGGGTGAGACTAAACCTGGAGGTGTTGTCGATTATGGGGAATAGGTGAAAATACAAAAAGAAAATACATGGATTAAGCGAGTGGGTAGAATAATCCTTGCATTTTTTACGATATAGCGCCTTATCACATCTTCGAGACGTCTCAAAGCGCTTAACAGAATATACTGTGAAGTGAATTGACCGTAGATTTTGTGGGCAAAACGTGGCAAACGGAAAACTATGGCAAATGAGTTTAACACTGTAACATGTGAGCCTAGTATACTTTAGATATAAGAACAATGGTTGGGAGTATGACCTAAATGGGGAAACACTAGCTGGGGTAGATGAGCAGAGTGATCCAAGGTTTCAAGTACGTATATCATTAAAATCTAGAAAGCAGCTAGTAACGTAAAAGGGACGCTGGCATTTATGAAAAGAGGTGTGCAATATAAATATAAGAAGGTGTTCCTCCACTCATATAGAGCACTAGTCAGACCTCATTTGGAATAGTGTGTTTGCAATGAATGGATTTCGGTAACATTCACGTTGACTCTATTGTAAAACTATTTCCAATCGACAGACACTGGAGATGATAATTCACGGACATTCACTTGATATTTAGGGGAAAGATGACCAAAAGCAGGGTGAATCTGGAAAGTAAGGACAATTTCTTAAAATCAAAAAGTTTAAACCAGTTGAGAAGTGAAATGGGGAAACAAAAAAAACTCACAGAAAGGGACGTGGAATTCGTTAAATATAATGAAAGGCAATAAATGGATGCCGGGTCGATCAGAAATATTTTAAGAGGAAAGTGGATGAATATTTGGTGGGGGGGATAAGGTACAAGCACAGGCAAAGTGTAGATCAGTCATTGTGTAACAGTATAGTGGAGCAGACTGGTTGGGGGGTGGTCTCTAGGTAATGGCAAATAAATTGATATAAAAGGCAACTTGGGTGTTATACCAAGGGCAGCTCCAGCGACCACATTACTTTTTGGGGGTCAGCCGGGTGTCTAACACACGCGGAAACCCGTCACCGTTGCGTAAGAGTATCCTAACCAAGCTGAGAATTCCATGCATCCCACCTACACATGGAAATCCCAGAGATAGGTTGTTGGAATGGAATGCGCTCCCTCTCCCTGGAGGAACGCATTCTGCTTAGCTAATTCTGTAGAGTATTAGGTGCATGTTGGTAAGAGCCAAGGCTTGGTGACCCCAAAGTGTATGTTGGGGCGATGCTGGCGGTTAACCAGCTAAAGCTCTTGTGAGCCTTGGAGAAAAAAAAAATGAGCGTTCATTTTTCTGGCATGAATTTAAGACCCGGGAGTAATTTAACAAACTTTTTTGCATTTTCTTTATGATCTCTGTTGGCTGTTTCTTGTCAGTGTTTTGCTCTGTAATGCCAACTCTTGGTGAAGCGCCGACACAAAAAACAAAGCACGGGGAGGAAACTCAACTGGATTTTAATTCTTATGATAAACTGGCGAAAGCGACTTATCAATCGGAACAAAATAACTTATTTTTTTAAAAAGAAGCTCCTGGAACTGAACTTAGCTGCCGCTGCACGGAATAATAATAATCTTTGCATTTGACATAGTCCTCTATCGCGAGTCGTCTCAAAGCCCTTCACAGAATTTACTGTAAAGTTTAAATGATGGTATATTTTGTGGGCGATACATGGTAGCCAATTACGCACAGCAGTGACTCGCTTACAGTCGTGAATTGAGTGCCCAAATTATTATTATTTTTTTTAAAAAGGGATTATTACCCCCTGAAAGCAATCCACCAATCGACTAACAACCGGGGTTCCTACTTATTGCTAGGTAAACAGAGGCGTATGGAGTAAGGAAACTGGCCCTGTCCGGGAATCAAACCCAGGTCCTCTCGCGAGCGCACCATCCACTCTGCTACAGGACTCCATATAGTTCAATAAGCCACTGCAATCTTGCATTAAATAACAGCTGGTGTCCTGGGATGTAAGGTGTGACATGTAAGGTGCATTCATTCATTGACCATCCTGGAGCCCAAAAGCACCCTGAGCTGAGCTGAGTCTCGCTGCTGCAGTGAGTAATAATAATAATAATAATAATAATAATCCTTGCATTTGATATAGCGCTTTTCACGTCGGGAGGACGTCCCAAAGCGCTTCACAGAACACACTGTAAAGTGAATTGACTGTATATTTGTGGGCGAACGCGGCAGCCAATTGCGCACAGCAATGTCCCACAAACAGTCGTAGATTGAAAATGACCAATTTAATTATTGTTTTTTGTTTTTGGAGGGATTATTATTAGGCTCTGTGTGGAGTAAGGAAACTTGCCCAAGGTTTCGCCCTCTGCCTGGAATTGAACTCAGGTCTCTCACTTGCAAAGCGAGTGCTCTAACCACTGAGCTACAGGACTCCAAGTTGGTGAGTTACACCCTACACATTAACTAACATCAGTCCTCACCTGTGGAGAGGTTGGTGCCGTTGAACTTGTTCAATTGGGCCAAACAGTGCAGATGCTCTTGCTGGATCTCCAGGAATACCTGACAATCCTGTTGGATCCCGTTCACCTGCAGTCACCAGGGAGAGAGAGGTCACTTGAGCGCTCACACACAGATTGATTCCCCGTCACTTCACCCCTTGGGTATGATACTGTATAACAAGCCATGGGGAAGGTGCCAGTTTAACTCTGAATCTGATCAGACCTGTTTTGTGGGAGAATGATCACCACTTAAGGTTGGTTGCTCCCTTTCTTTTACTGACTCGACACGTTACAAAGCACCCAGGGTTTGTCTGAACAATGTATGTACTGTTATGAGCATTGCACCCAGCACAGATGTCTGGATAAAAAAGAGAAGCCTTGTCTGTCGATTGCTTGTCTTTTAATGTTACCGTGCTGTGGATTACCACGGGTAATAACCCCATCAAAAACAATTTTGTCACTCACTCCATAATAATAATAATAATAATTCTTGCATTTGATATAGCGCCTTATCACATCGTTCAGACTCTCAATGACGTGAAAGTCAATGTACAAATCTAATTTGATGTTGTTGTCTCCAAGGGCTTCACAGAATATAATAATAATCCTTGCATTTGATATAGCGCTTTATCATGTCTTCGAGACGTCTCAAAGCCCTTCATAGAATATACTGTAAAGTGAATTGACCGTATATTTTGTGGGTGAAACCCAGCAGCCAATTGTTCACAGCAGCGTCCCACAAACAGTCGTGGATTGAAGTGACCAATTTTATTATTATTAAGGAATTATTACCCCGGAAAAATCATCCCTCCAATTGACTAACAACAGGGTTCCTACTTACTGCTAGGCAAACAGTGGCGTGCGGAGTAAGGAAACTCGCCCAACATTTCGCTCTGCCGGGAATCGAGCCCGGGTCCTCTCGCTTGAGAGGCGGATGGTCTAACCACTGAGCTACAGGACTCCACGACTGTTTGTGGGTCACTGCTGTGCACAATTGGCTGGTGTGTTTTGCCCACAAAATACATAGTCAATCGACTTTACAATATAATCTGTGAAGCAAAGTGATAAGGTGCTATTTCAAGGATTATTATTATTATTTTTATCTGTACTGAAAGCCCACATCAACTCGAAGCAAAGAGAGGGAAAAAAGTAAGATTGAGAAATTGCAAAGAGAGGAACAGAATCATAATAAATAATGATAGCAACAATGAAAAAAAGCATCCTTGCATTTGACATGGCGAATTTAAAGTCGGGAAGAGTTTTCAGAGAGCTCTGTGGGATTGGCAGGCAAACTCCGCAGCCAATTTGCTTGCAGCAATGTCCCACAAACAGCCCTGAAGTCAACGGCCAATTTTATCTGGGGAAGGGGAGATTGTTGGCCAAAACATTCGGAGAAGCTTCCTTTTTTTTTTCGAACAGCGACGTGAGATCTTTAATAGACTGACTAGATCTCGGTTTAATGTCTCATCTGAAGGAAGGCACCTCCAACAATGCAGCTTTGCCTCAGAGTCGTGTTGGGACTGTCAGCCTACTCTACGAGTTCAGCGTCCTTCGTAGTGGGGCTTGAACCCACAACCTCCTGACTCGGAGGTTAGAGTGTTACCAACTGAGCCAGCCTGGCACCTTCTGTACTACTTTTGCCCACAAAATATACAGTCACTCCTCTTTACGATGTATTCTGTGAAGCGCTTTGAGACGTCTCAACGATGTGATAAAGCGCTACGTCGAATGCAAGGATTATTATTATTGTTATTATTAGTAGTATTACAGGACAAGTCCCCATTAGATGAATAAAAAAGCCAGCTCGGACCTACCCAAAAGGGAGGGTGACATTAAAAGACAAGAGACGCACCCACACAAAATATCTTCTCCCTTTACTGATCCTGTGACAGCAAAATTTGCGGTACAGTTCAACAAAATTCACAGGATTCAAGGGAAACGGGAGTGGGCGGAGGGGCGGTGGGGGCGCAAAATGTTCAATAGGGTATAGAAATACTATATCACCAGAGGTCCTCCAACGCACAGACACACACACACACAGACACAATCACAGCCCCCACCCCCCACCCCCCACTCAAAAAAAAAAGAAACACACGCGTTGCAAATGGGAATCGGTTGCGAATGTTAACTGGAATTACTGTAGAGCAAACTTAACTCCCGCACGCTTCGTCGGCACCTCGGTCCTCAGTTACATCTGATCCCGCGTCTTATCCGCACTCCCAGCATTTCTCAGGATAATACTGTAAAGTGAATGGACTGTATATTTTTTTGTGGGGAAACTTCTGCAGAAGGAAACATGGAAAGACCACCCCAAACACACACACACATCTCTCTCTCTCTCTATTTCTCTTCCCTTTTTCATCATCTTCCCCCCCTTTTTTTTTTCCCCCCCACCACCCCCAGACCAACGACTTTGTGTGTGTGTGTGTGTGTGTGTGTGTTTGGTACTCACCCAGAATAAAGATGCAAAGGTTAAGACAATTTTAAGCAGGACGTTCCTCATAACGCAGTCACAGCAGGTTGATGAAGGAGCCTTTTCTTTTTTGTTCCTCCCCCACCACCACTGCTTGAAAATAGCATCCGATCGCAAAGGTGGACAGATTGACCCAAACCCTCCCTCAACCACCAGCCCCAGAAAAAAATACAAAAAGAAATAAAAACAAGTGGAAGAAGTAGGTAGAGAGGATGCAGTTGGGTGGCAAGTCTCTGAGAGTGGGTGTCTCTCTCTGTGTGTGTGTGTGTGTGTGTGTGTCTGTCTTGACAATTACACCACTGCAGCAGAAAAGAACCAAACTCACTCTTGTTAATTTCACTAAAGATCTGTGTGTGTGTGTTTGTCTGTCTGTCTGTGTGTGTGTGTCTGTGTGTG